TCACCTATGCTTTTGATGTAATATTTAAGGAACTACCAATTCCAAGATCATTAAGATTTGCCCCAATGATCTCTTCTTAGAATTTTATAGTTTTAGGTCTTACGTTTAAGTCTTAAACTCATTTTGAATTAATTTTTGTATATGGTGTAAGTTAAGGGTCCAGTTTCATTCTTCTGCATATGGGATCCAATTGTCCCAGAATAAGTCATTGAAGACACTGTTCTTTCCTCACTGAACGATTTTGGAAGCTTTGTCAAAAATCAGTTTATCATATATGGGAGAGCTTATTTTTGAGATTTTTTATTTAATTACATTGGTCTCTGTGTTTACATTTCTAGTCACATGGTGTTTTGATCATTGTAGCATTTTAGCTACAGGACTGGAAATGGTCAATTTTCATTCCAATGCTAAAGCAGGGCAATGCCAAAGAATGTTCAAACTACCACACAATTGCACTAATTTCACATGCTAGCAAGGTAATGCTCAAAATCCTTCAAGCTAGGCTTCAACAGTAAGTGAACCCACAATTTCTGGATGCGCAAACTGGATTTAGAAAAGGCAGAAAAAAATAGAGATCGAATTGCCAACATCCATTGGAAAAAGCAAGGGAGTTCCAAAAAACCGTCTACTTCTGCTTCAACGACTATGCTAAAGCCTTTGGCTGTATAGAACATAACAAACTGTGGAGAATTCTTCAAGAGATGGGAATAGCAGACCACCTTACCTGTCTCCTGAGAAAACTATGAAACTATGCAGGTCAAGAAGCAACAATCAGAACCAGATATGAAACAATGGACTGGTTCTGAATTGGGAAAGCAGTATGTCAAGGCTGTATACTGTCACCCTGCTTATTTAACTTACATGCAGAGTACATCATGCAAAATGCTGGACTGGATGAAGAAGGAACGGAATTTAGATTGCTAGGAGAAATATCAATAACCTCAGATATGCAAATGACACCACCATTATGGCAGAAAGCAAAGATGAACTAAAGAGCCTCTTGATGAGGGTGAAAGAGGAGAGTGAAAAAGCTGGCTTAAAACTCAGCATTCAAAAAAGTAAGATCATGGCATCTGGTCCCATCACTTCATGGCAAACAGATGGGGAAACAACGGAAACAGTGAGAGACTTTATTTTCTTGGGCTCCAAAATCACTGCAGATGGTGACTGCAGCCATGAAATTAAAAGATGCTTGCACCTTGGAAGAAAAGCTATGACCAACCTAGACAGCATATTAAAAAGCAGAGACATTACTTTGCCAACAAAGGTCCATATAGTCAAACTCTGGTTTTTCCCATAGTCATGTATGGATGAGATGTGACAGCTGGTAAAGTAGACTGAGCACCAGAGAATTGATGCTTTTGAACCATGGTGTTGGAGAAGACTCTTGAGAGTCCCTTGAACAGCAAGGAGATCCAACCAGTCAGTCCTAAAGGATGTCAATCCTGAATATTCATTGGAAGGACTGATGCTGAAGCTGAAGCTCCAATACTTTGGCCACCTGATGCCAAGAGCCAACTCATTGTAAAAGATTCTGATGCTGGGAAGGATTGAAGGCAGGAGGAGAAGGGGGAGACAGAGGATGAGATGGTTGAATAGCATCACCAATTCAAGGCACATGAGTTTGAGTAAACCATGGGAGACAATGAGGGACAGGGAAGCCAGGCGTGTTGCAGTCCATGGGGTCACAAGGAATAGGACACGACGGAGTGACTGAGCAACAACAGCTTTTTAGTAAGTTTTCAAGTCAGGAAGTATGAGATTTTCCCCAACTTTATCTTTCGCAAGATTGTTTTGGCTATTGAGAATCCTTGCAATTCCATATGAGCTAGGCTGAACTTTCATACTTCTGCAAAAAATGTCATTGAGATTTCATAAGGATTGCTCTGAATCTGTCAGTTATTTCAAGGAGAATTTTTTTATTTATCTGCTTGGGTTGCTATAGCAAAATAGAAGAGAAATTTATTGTCTCAGTTCAGGATAGTAGAAGTCCTTTATCAAGGTGACAGCAAACTCAATTTTCAGTGAGAGCTCTCTTTTTGTCTTGAACATGGCTGCCTTCTCACTATGTCCCACATGGCCTGTCCTCAATGTAGGTGTATGAAAAGAGTGAGCTCTCTCTTTTTCGAGAGACACTGATCCTATTGGATCAGGACCTCACCCTTGTGGCCTCATTTAACCTTAAATACTTCCATAAAGGACCTATCTCCAAATACAGTACATTGAAGGTCAGGGCTTCAACATATGCAGTTCACGATAGTTCTCATCTTAACTATGTATCTCAATTTAACTTCAGTGTTACAACCCATGAACATAGAGTTTTCCCATTCATTTGTGTTTCATTTAATTTCTTTCAATAGTGTTTTATAGTTTTTAGTTCACAATTCTTGTGCTTCCTTACCTACTCATCACTCAGTATTTTGTTCTTTTTTATGCTAGTGTAAATGGAATTGTTTCCCTAATTTCCTTTGCAGATTGTTCACTGCTAGTGTATATAAATTTAACTGATCTTTGTCTGTTGATTCTGTGTCCTGCAACTTTTTTGAGTTTATTACTTTAACATGCTTTTTTTCTTGTGGATTCTTTACAATTTTCTATATATAAGATCATGTCATCTGCCAATAGATATAATTTCACATCCCTCTCAGTTTGCCATTGTTTTATTTCCTTGTCTAATTTCTTTGACTAGAACTTCCAGTACTATGTTGAGTAAAAGTGATAAAAGCAGACATACTTATCTTGTTCTGGATCTCAGAGGAAAAACTTTCAGTCTTTCCCCCTTGGGTATGTTAGACAGAGGCTTTTCATATATGGTCTTTATAAGGTTGAAGAGGTTTCGGTCTCTTCCTAGCTCATTGAATGTTTTTATAAGGATGTTGGGTTTTTGTCAAGTGCTTTTTTCTGCATCAACTGAGATTATCATGTAGTTTTTTCCCCTTTCATTTTATTAATGTGGTATGTAATTTTGATTGATTTTCATATGGTGAACTACCTTTGTGTTCCTGAGATAAATTCCACATGATCCTGGTGTACAATTCTTTTATTATGGTCCCCAATTCAGGATTCATTGTGCTAGTATTTATTGAGAGATGTTGCATTTACAGTAAATAAGGGACATTGGTCTGTAGTTTTTTTCTTTCAGTGTCTTGGTCTTGCTGACCTCAAAGGTGTTCCCTCTTTCTCACTTATTTAGAAGTGTTTGAGAAGAATTGGTGCTAATTCTCCTTTAAATGTTTAAAATTCACCTTTGAAGCCATCTTGATTTTTCTCTGTTGGGAAGATTTTGATTATTGATTTATTCTCCTTCGCTGTCATAGTTTTCTATTTCTTCTTGAGTCAGTTTTGTTAGTTTTTGTTTTTCTAGGAATTTGTCCCTTTCATCTGATTTCTACAGTTGTTCATAGCGTTCTAATGTTCTCTGTTTATTTTTGTAAAATTGTAATTTTGTCCCATTTTTATTTCTGATTTTAGTAGGAGTCTTCTCTTTTTCTTAATTTAGGTTGTCAGTTTTATTAATCTTTACAAGAGCCAATTTTGGTTTCACTGGTATTCTCTATTGTTTTTCTATTTTGTTTGTCTCTTTGTTATGTCTTTCTTCTGCTAGCTTTGGATCTTGTTTTTCTAGTTCCTTAAAGTACAGTTAGGTTATTGATAGATTAGTTTGCTAGGGCTACCATAACAGAATACCATAGACTGACGATTTACACAGCAGAAATTTATTTTCTCACGTTATAGAGGATGGTATTCCAACATCAAGGTGTGAAGGGGGTTGGCTAACTCTGAGGCCTCTCTCCTTGGCTTGCAGTTGTATGCCTTCTTGCTGACTCTGCACGTGTTTATGCTTGTGGTATGCATGCCTCTGGCTTTTCTCAGTGTCTCCAAATATCCATTTTACTCTCAACTCTTCTGTGTTTTTCATTCTAAAGTGAGTCACTTGTAGACAGCATATAGAACAAAATACTTAGAAGATAAATGTATTTACCCTTCCACTGGAGCTGGGAGTGGGTCAGCTTCCCACAGGCACAGGAGCTAAACAGGCTAGGTTTGAATACTTGAATGAAGGGAGATACGATGGGGCTTCCCTGATAGCTCAGTTTGTAAAGAATCCGCCTGCAACGCAGGACACCCCGGTTCCATTCCTGGGTCGGGAGGATCTGCTGGAGAAGGGATAGGCTACCCACTGCAGTATTCTTGGGCTTCCCTGGTGAATCAGCTGGTAAAGAATCCTCCTGCAATTCAGGAGAGCGAGACCTGAGTTCGATCCTTGGGTTGGGATGACCTCCTGGAGAAGGGAAAGGCTACCCACTCCAGTACCCTGGAGAATTCCACGTGTTGTATAGTCCATGGGGTCTCAAAAAGTCGGACACAACTGAGCGACTTTCACTTTCAGGGTGGGCAGCTGCCAACATCCATTTAGAAAGGGTCAAAGTGAGAACTGGGCGACAAGAGCAGAAGCTACTGAAGTAGCTGAGGATACACAGATGATGGTGGTGGTGTTAGAGCAGTCTGAGATGGCCAGTTTCAGAGGAATTGGATGTTTGATATGTAGTAAGAAAAGACAGCAATTAATATTTACCATCTGCCCAAATTTTCCTTCCTTCTTTCTTTGAAGCAAATGAAAAAGAGTGTATCTGAATTGGGGAGCTGGCCAGAGGGGAGAGAAATCTAGCAAGCAGGCACACCAGGGTGAGAACTGCAGTTCTCTGTTAAGTACTGGAGCAGAGATGATTATTACGCCAAGGCCCATTCCATTCATTAAGCATTAACTGAGTGCCTACTGTGTACAAAGGCTGTAGTAGAAAGAGGTCACAGAAGTTTGAAATAAGAAGAGAAGTTTGGGCAACTTTATCCTTGAAGTCTCTTAAACAGCCCATACATAGCAATTAATTAATTAATGCACAATACCTTCATATATGTAAACGTTATGTGTGCAGTAATTAATACACAGGGAAAATTTAATTACATATTTTAATTCATTAAACAGGTACAGTTTGTTAAAATTAAATATGCTTATAAAGCAGTATTAGTACATGAATTAAGCTCCTGCGGCCAAATGCAGCGCTCAATGACTGAGTGCATATGTGGGACAGAAGGCCAAGGTAGGCATCCTGCTCACGAACTGAGCGTCCATCCTCCATAGAATGAAAGTTTCCAGGCAGCGAAGCCTCAGGATAAGCCAGCCGCCGCTGCGCCGCTCCTGCACCACGTGACTCACCGGGGGCGGGACGAAGGGCGGAGGCTGAGTGCGCTTCCCAGCGTGCCGCGCAGGGCGGAGCGAGGGGCGGGGCCTGCGGAGGAGGCGCGGAGGAGGCGCGGCCGCCACAGGACGCCTCGCTCGGCCCAGCTATCGGATCGGCGCTTCTCGCCTTCCACGGCCGGCCTGCTGCTCCGAGCCCGCGGCGGCGGCGGCGGCTGCAGCGGCGGGCGGCATGAGCGTGTGAGATGCGGCCTCGGGCAGCCCGGACGCGAGCAGCGGTCGCCGCGGTAGCGGAGAAGGCGGGCGCGGCCTCCTCAGCGCGGGGCGCGCAGTGCATGAGGGCGAGCACACGGGCGCTGGGCAGCCACCGGCCACGACGTTTCCATAAACACTTGTTTAGGACTCGTTCGCCCCGCTGAGGCCCCGGCACACCCTTCATGGAGGCCCCGCCAGACCCCAGGCCCCACGCCTCGGCCGCGGCGCCGCTGCGCGCCCCGGAGGTGGCGCGGCTCCGTGAGGAGCAGGAAAAGGTAACAGGCCGCGCTCCGTCCCGCGCTTATGCAAGTGGTCTCGGGAGGCGCCCGCTCCCCGGCGCATCCTTGGCGCCCGGTTCCCCCTCCCCGTGGCTGGGGCCTGACCCCCGGCCGACCCCCTGCTGCCCTCAGTGGGCCGCAGCCCTTTGGTCTGGGCCCAGGCCCCCCGGACCCGGAAAGAGGGAGAAGCGTAGCCTCTAGGCCTGGGAAGCGTGTTAGGAGAAACTTTTGTCACGTGCTTTTGTTGTCTTTTGTCTGGGACCCCTTCGGCCTTCGAAGGGAGGGGAGGGTTGGGGGAAAAGAGATGTAATAGCCTGTTTACCTTCTGTATGAAAGTGGGTTTTAAATCTTAATGCGTACAGCGATGCGTGGGAATATTCTTGGTGAAGGACACGCTGTAAATGGAAGAGTTCACCTTATTTTTTAAGCCATTTCTCTAATCGTTGCTAAAATGTATACTTGTAGTGATAACGCTTCTTGTGCATTTCTAGGTTTAGTTTCGTATTTGTCAAAATTGAATGGTATTCTGTTAAATTTTAACTTCAATTATATAAATAAGTGAGTTTTAATCTACCAATAAAGAGGAGAGAAAGTTTTGTATTTCCTAATGGGATTGCATACGAAGTATACCAATTTAAGAAATACAGTATTATTTTAATCTGAGATTTTTAATCTGAGATTTTTACCCCCTCTGGGTTCCTTATCATTTGTTTCTCACCATCTCCAAAAGTTTGAGATTCTTACTTTGAAAGGCAACATTTAATTTACTTAATGTCTTGTGATCTTATTGAGAGTATCATGGTTATAAAGGTTAGGAAGTGGTTCAAAACCTGTAAGCACTGGGAATCCCTAACTTTTCTATTGAGCATTTCTGTATAAAAATGACAACTTACATGGGTAACCAAATCTTTAGCTGAATGAGGGACTTTTCATAGAACCTAAAAAATCCTGGTTTACTTGGAAACAACCTGCTAGGATAAATTTTGGGAACCTTTGCTGCTATGTTCTGTTTGTTCTAAATTATTTGGTGCTTTGGATTTCCCTTTCCGAGAGCCCTTTTCCCTCTAATACCATATACAATGGGTGGGTTTTAAACTTGGCTTTTTTCAAATTGGGGGCTTAAAAATTCAGGTTCACTGACTGCATTTAAATTGTAAGACAATGTCCTCCCCCACCCACCCCCCACCCCCCAAGAGAAAAAAAAAGAAAAGACAGTCCTTCATGAAACCAATTTCTGGCAAAACTATTTACATTTTTTATTTTAGAAAATGTGAAACAGACCCTGGAAGGAGTTTTCCTATTGCCTTTCTTTCTGCTGAGGAATTAACTCTCCTTCATAGTATGATGTTTGCATACTGCTGACTTGATATGTTTTCTCCCATTTGGCATGTTGAAAAGAGAAATCCTTGGTTTTATTCTGATGTTAGTGTGGCTTAAGTACAAAGGATACGGTTTGGAGTGCCTTGAACAGCTTTCTGGTCTGGTATCCAGTTGCATTTGAAACCTCCCTTCTCATTTCCAGTCCTGTAGGAACCCGAATAGTAGTTTCAGTAGAAAGTTGAGTATGTTGCCAGATTACTTTTCTGTGCAGTGTTAATTTTATTTTCTCCTCCCTGGTGACCCAGATGGTAAAGAGTCTGCCTGTATTGCAGGAGGTCAGGGTTCACTCCCTGGGTGGGAAAGATCCCCTGGAGAAGGAAATGACAACCCACTCCAGTATTCTTGCCTGGAAAATCCTATGGAAGGAGGAGCCTGGCGGGCTACAGTCCATGGGGTTGCACAGAGTCGGAGATGACTGAGTGATGTAAATCAGTGTTATTTTGGCATATAAAACAAGCATGTGCTTGTCTGTCATGGGTGTGTAAGATCATTCTCAGTCCATGATAAAGCCTCTGAGTAAATAGCAACAAATATTTTAACCAGTCTGCTTCAGTGGACAGGAGAGACCCATAAGGCCACAAGATTAGCCCATGAGGCCACGGTTAGTTAGCTATCCTTTAATTATAGTTCAATGTGGGAAAACTTTATCTAGTAAATAGTTAAGAAATAAGTCATATTTTTGTGAGGGACTGTAGGCTTTAAAACCAACCTAGCAGCTGTAGGCGTACAGTGAACTCTAGTAGGAAGTGTTGGGACACTGAAGGAAAAAGAGGGGAAAAAGACATAGTAGTATAGCAGTATTACTTTATGTAAGTCTAATTAAGTGTGCTTTAGGACTTGCTTTTCCCTCCAAGGCCTCTGTGAGAGAATAAAATATGAAGAAAATGATTTGAATGACTCCCCTGCCCCCCCAGTTTTGGTAGCTAGCTAGTAGGCTCTTAATTGCAGAGGAGAGAAATGAACTCTTTATATTCAGTAGATGCCTTTGATTCAGGCCCATTATTTTCTCTGGGAATCTTGATTAACAGTGGCTGCTAGGTAAAGAGGCTTTCCTGATAGGTTAGTTGGTAAAGAATCCACCTGCAATGCAGGAAGTCTTGGTTCAATTCCTGGGTCAGGAAGATCTGCTGGAGAAGGGATAGGCAACCCACTCCAGCATTCCTGGGCTTCCCTTTTGACTCAGCTGGTAAAGACTCTGCCTGCATTGTGGGAGACCTGGGTTCGATCCCTGGGTTGGGAAGATCAAGCTTTTACCTGGGTATGTAAAGATGGTTTAAATGCTGCTCATAAATTTTTTACTTTTTAATTCAAGTAAGGAATATAACATATTTTACCTTGGTTCCCCCTCTCTGTTTTTTCCTTGATTATCCTTGGGAGCACCGAGTAACAAGGAAAAAAAAATTAGTAACATACATAAGGGAAAAGACAAAGGAGAGGCAAGAATGATCCACAACTTCAGTGAATGACATCTGTAGTAAATGGATAGGCTCAAGTATTTGAATATTGTTGTCATTAATGGCATCAATGCTGACATTTTCAAAAAAATTTTTTTGGTGAAAACTTCTGTTTGTTTTATTTTTAAGAATCTAGCAAAAAGACATGCACAGAAAGGTTTCCTGCAGATTTGTTTTAATAATGAAAAAAGTAAAAATTCAACATTAGAGGATTGGTATGAGGAGATTTTTATGCAGCTATTAAAAATTATAGAACAGTATGTGGTGTGGTTAATTATGTTTATGTGTATTTGGCCAATCCAACATATACATATTAACACTTTATATAGGTGAATGTACCACTACATGTTTTAAAAGCACACAATTTCATTTCCTATTTTACCTAAAAGTGAGTGCATTGAATAGGATCTTTTTTTCAACAAAGGCTGTGATGAAAACCTAATTAATTTTAATGAAAGCTGGGTTGTTGTATCTTTTAATTGCTAAATACTTTCTGGGCCTAACAAATGGTTCTTTGTTGGTTTGAACAGGTTTATTCAGGTTAAGCAGGTTTATTTCTTTTTCCGGAGTGGATCCTTGCAGTTTATTCAAATATCCTAGATGGTTACCTTTTCTTTTTTCCTTGGAGATTTTATTTACTGTTAATTCTCTGTCAGAAGATACAGGGACAAGAGGGAACTTGGATCATTCCCCCCACCTCCCCTTTTTTCGTTTAACTAAATCAGTTTTTACCAATATCAGTAAAGTATTTGGTGGAAAAAAGTGGAATCTACTTAAGAGCCTCTCTGGACTAATCTGTTTGTTTCTAGGTATTTTTAAATTTCTTTTTGAGTTTTTCAGTGATCCATTGGTTATTTAGTAGCATGTTGTTCAGCCTCTATGCATTTGTATTTTTCTTCCTGTAATTGATTTCTAATCTCATAGTGTCAGAAAAGTGGTCAGAAAAGATTCTTGATGTGATTTTAATTTTCTGAGATTTACTGAGGCTTGAGTTGTAATAGCTCAGTTGGTAAAAAAAATCCGGCTATAATGCAGGAGACCCAGGTTCGATTCCTGGGTGGGGAAGATCCCCTGGAGAAGGGATAGGCTACCCACTCCAGTATTCTTGGGCTTCCCTGGTGGCTCAGCTGGTAAAGAATCCGCCTGTAATGTGGGAGACCTGGGTTCGACCCCTGGGTTGGGAAGATCCCCTGGAGAAACGAAAGGCTACCCACTCCAGTATTCTGGCCTGGAGAATTCCATGGACTGTATAGTCCGTGGGGTTGCAAAGAGTTGGACACAACTGAGTGACTTTCACTTTGATGATTTTAATTTTCTGAGATTTATTGAGGCTTGATTTGTGACCCAGGATGCTGGAGAATGTTCTGTGTGCACTTAAGAAGAACGTGTATGCTCCTGCTTTCGGATGGAATGTCCTATAAATATCAGTTAAATCTATCTGGTCTAGTGTGTTATTTAAGGCTTGTGTTTCCTTATTAATTTTTTTGTCTGGATGATCTATTCTTCGGTGTAAGGTGGACTGTTAAAGTCCCCCACTATTATTGTGTTACTGTTGATTTCCTGTTCTATGGTAGTTAGCATTTGCCCTGTGTATTGAGTGCATAAATATTTACAACTGTTATATTGTCTTATTGGATTAATCCCTTGATCATTATGTAGTGTCCTTTCTTATTTCTTGTGATTATCTTTGTTTTAAAGTCATTTTGTCTGATACGAGTATTGCTGCTTCAGCTTTCTTTTGGTTTCCTTTTGCATGGAATATCTTTTTCCATCGCCTCACTTTCAGTCTGTATGGGTCCGTGGGTTTAAAGTAGGTCTCTTGTAGACAGAGTGTATATGGATCTTGTTTTTGTATCCATTCAGCCAATCTGTGTCTTTTGGTTGGAGCATTTAATCCACTTATATTTAAAAGGAATTATTGATTTGTATGTTCCTTTTGACATTTTCTTAATTGTTTTGGGTTTGTTTCTTTAGGTCTTTTTCTTCTCTTGTGTTTCCCACCTAGAGATAGTCCTTTAGCATTTGTTGTAAAGCTGTTTTGGTGGTGATGAATTCTCTTAGCTTTTGCTCCTCAAAGCTTTTGATTTCTCTCTTGAATGTGAATGAGATCCTTGCTGGGTAGGGTAATCTGCAGGTTTTCCCCTTTCATCACTTTAAATATAT